TAAATCATCTCAACTCAAAAAAATCTCCCAAAAGCATTCAACTATGCTATTCTATATGGCAAAGCTAGTAAAATTATATACAATTTGCGGTTGCACTATCAATCGGAGGAAACGTTTTCAAAGGTATAGACAACTTCAACATTTACTTCCATAAAGCTCTAGAATACAATAAAAGAATGAGGTTAAGGCAGGAAAAAGTTTCTTACCACCAAGTCCTCCCCATGCTTCTTAGCTTGAATAAGAGGAGAGCACAATTTATCGGGATTTCCATATTGGAACTGTGGAGGATGAAATCTTGAATATCATTACCTTGTAAAGTAACAAAATAAATGCAAATGAAAAACGACATGCTTACAGCTGTAACAGCAGCGTCTGCCAGAAAATACAAGAAGTCACCATCGATCTCAAGCTGCAGAGTATGAGAAAGATTACTTTCAAAAAGAAGTGGGATCAAAAAGGATTACACATTGCACAACAGCTAAACACATTTCTGAAGACATAATCGCCATATTAAGGAAAGAGGAATTCGAACCTCAGCAGCACCAAACAACTCCTTCAATGCCTTTCCATTTGATGCAAGCCGTTGCTCAACAAGTTGATTTACTTCCTGCAATGCAGCCTTACATTCCGGTCCAGCTGAAACACCAATCTAAAGTTGGAAACAACAGTAGAAAGTTTTATTTAGTCGGAGAATATTTCCAATTATTTCTCAATACAGATCAACTGGAACATCATAAAGGCTGAAGACAGCAGCCAGACATCAAAATACACCGCACAACATAATCATAACCCCAACTTCTTGGCCTTCTGGCAAGTTTAAAAGGACAATACTGGCAATAAAGATGGTCCTTACCTGCCGGTCAAATTCAGGGAAATCGTACACAGCTTGAACAACGGCAGAACTTGCAAGACTTCCACATGTCAAATGAGGGAACTTAAGACGAAACCACGCACTGAGAGCTCCAGAATAAGAAATGCCAAAAACAAACCAGGGGTTTCCGGCATCTGTTCTATTGAGCTTCAGATTTACTGAATCCTGCACATAGTGTCAAAACAACTAACTAGTCAGACCGCTAGCAGACATCATGTGAAAGGGAGACTCACTTCAACACACAGAAGTAAAGACTTTCTAGAAGAAATGCTAAAAGTTTCTCCCAAAAGAATCTAGCACATGACTTAGCCATATTAATAAGCATCACTTGCAAACACACGCCAATCAAATTAATATGTGATGGTCGCAGGAAGAATAGTGTAAAGCCAAATCTTCTCATTCCAGCAACCCTTGTTTTCCAAATGCAGTAATACCCATCAGAGCCAACACTTCAATCAAACAAAAACAAAGGCAGGTCATCCAATCACTCGGAGGGATTGTTCTCATGTCATGTGCACAGCATGCAAATGATACCTAAATCAATTTCTTCCCCCATGTGCTAAATTTTCAGTCAGCTCTGCGGCAATGTCTTTTCGCAAGTGAAGAAAGGACACTTTGACCACATCCCGGTTGTACATCAAAATAATACTAGCTTTAGCTAGTAACAAGATTACGTCATTGATGATTTTTCCGAGTTTCAGACCATCTCTCTTCTGAAAATCAAGGTTTCTTTATGAAACTTCTATCACCATTGTCATTCATGGAAAATCACATGCTTAACAGATACGAAAACTTGCCTGATAAAATTGACGAAAGGAAGCCAAGTCAGAGAGTGCCTGTTTAGATGATAAGTATTTCAGATTTGTTGTTGTCAATGATTTGAAAGGAGAACTCTTCCCATAGTATCGATGCTCAAGTGAAACCACAGCAGCTCCAAACTTCTTTGCCAAAACCTGCATGAATTAACAAGGGGAAAATTTTTCAAAGAATCAAAGTTTAGGATAACCATGAAATTCCAAATTTTTCTCTCTGAATGTGCCAGTATAATGCTTAGTGGGATGCTAACCGCTTTATAGTGATTTCATGATTGGCATGCTTATACTAGCCAAAAGCTAGCAGAAAGTACTTACACTAACGTAGTCATTCACTATCCCATTACATGCAGATTCACCGCAGATTTTCAAAAATATTGGTCCATCCGGAAGCTGGAAATAGTCGAGGTACTCATAGTAGCGCTGCGCAAATTGATGATGATCCTGATAATGAAAGTTCAATTTCCAAGAGTTAGCAATAGCATGATGCCCTTTTCTGAAGATCGCTATAAAAGAAATTCAGTTATAGTGCTCCCCTACGTTACATGTTGAGTCGCTTCACGACAATCCACAATGGCATAACAACTTCAACTTCAAAGTTAGAAGACAGAAAGATAAAAAGGGCAGAAAAACTTCGGTTTATGTCCAGAAACACAATGTAGAATCCGTTATCGTAATCACAGAAATAGAATGTGCAAAAGGGTAATATGAGTTTTAGCAATTAACAAATATTAACGATACTTAGAGATCAAACCCATGCAAAACATGGTCAAGTGCACTAGTTTAGATATGTCGTCAACTATTGGCCTTCTGTACTTATTTTGCAAACAATAATATTGCATCATCTCTCGTTTGAAGGAATGGACCACAGAAATCTTCGAATTCTCATGTGTACTTTGACAGAGAAAATATAGAAAAATTTGTTCAAGTCCATAATAAGTGGGTTGCCAATGAAATTCGCTAATAATTAAGTTAGCGGATATAATTAAACAATATGCACAATTTCGCGTGGCGAAAAAAAAGTTAATTTAGAGTATCCGATCAATCGTTACCCCAATTCACAACCAAATCGATCGTGTCCTCCAAACTCAATTAGTTCAAAGTTCGATCGGATTAACCTTCAAAACGGAAGCAGGAATCTATTACGAGGGAAAAAAAACTGATGGGTGTTAGCATTTCAAGCAGCTCATCCCCGAGGACACCGACCACCAAACATCGAGCGACCCGTTACCTACGAATCAACATGAAATCGAGCGAAACAAAAGAACAGGATCATCCGCAGAGAGAGAGAGAGAGAGAGAGAGAGAGTACATATGGAGAGAAGTGATCGAGGGTTTGGTTGAACCAGAGCTCATCCTTGGTCAAGTAATATCCGGCACCGTTGCCGGAAGATTGGTGAAGCAAATTTCGGTCCCTCGCGTAGCCATCGCACAAGGCCACGAGCATCGACAAGAAGAGAGGAGTCAGTATCGAGATCGGGCTCATTGAAGTCCCCATGGATGGAAGTCGCTTCTTCTTCTTCTTCCTCCTGTTCAAAGAATCAGTTTTTGCAGAGGAAAGGTTCGCTTTTTCCTCTTTGTATTGGCATACCAGATGATTTGGGAACACTAGTATCGGGGGTTCAACACCCGCTTACAAAATTAATATCACGAAAAATCTTAAAATTTATCGTAAATTAATTTTTTGATCACTAAAAATCTTAATCTAATACACTTATGATAAATTTATCCGCACTCCATTTTAAATTACATGTAGCACATTTCTGACAAATTTACGCTCAGTTAATTTCTCTTAAATTTTACCGTCAAATTGTAGAGTTGGATAACATGTAACAGTTGATGGTTATACTAATTTGGTGTTTTACCCCTCCATTTGTCAGATGTTTACTAATTTGTGATTTTTTGTAGTATTAATCAAATTTAATATAGAGTAAATTGTTTACAAGTGTACCGATTTGGAGTTTTTTCTAGTAAAAAAATTAGTCTGTGGTAAATTTATTATATGTATACCAGTTTGGGGTTTTTGATGGTCAAAAAATTAATTCGGAGTAAAATTATCATATATCTATTAGTTTGGAGTTTTTCATGATATTAAACCCTTTTTAAAAATTTTCCTAGGACAAGTATTAAGTAATTCCGTAATATCTACTCCGTAAGGTGCACCTTCTCTTTAAAAAAAAAAATTGCACCTTCTCCTGTTGGAACCGTATGATGAAAGCAAGTAACGCATTAAAAATCTCACTTGACCTCTGCAATAAGTTTTGCCAGATAATCACATCCCAATGAATGAAAGCATAGGACATCTAGCAAGTTACAAAACTGATGGGATTTCTTTTGAGCTTCTCGTTTAGAACCGTCTCTACTTTCTCTTTTTAAAATTTTCCTAAGATTTCATTTTGTTTTAGCTTCTCATTTAGCATCGTCTCTATTTTCTCTAATTAAATTTTTCCCAAGTGACGAGAGAGAGAGAGTTGACTTGGATGATTTTAGCGATCCAAGATGTCCCCATCGACGTGTCATCATTTTAAACAATCACATCAAATGCCAAAATTGGTATTTAAGGATATTAGTATCCAATTTGGCATTCTCAACCACGAACCGTAATTTTAAGAAGGCTTTACGGTAAAAGGAAAAAAAAATACTTAAAACTGAGGAAAATGATTTCTCCATTCCAATAGGAAGAAATCGTTTTAACTCCTTTTCATGTGCATGTTCACTTAGAGCTTCAATTTATGTTCTCTCTAGCTTGGTCTTCACCACTCTTTGGTTCCTTTTGTTTGGATACTGACTTTGGTACCAATCTTTGATAACTTTTTTCGGAATGGAGAACCATTTTCACGTGAAGTTTTGCGAACACCGAGAAATTACATATGTTAATTATTTGCATTTCCATTTTTAGGTTGCTTTATTTTTATAGTAAAAACATAAAATTTATATTTCATGTATTACTAATATCTTAGACAAGCAATTTGATATTATCTTAGTATCTTATATTCGGAACAAAATACAATTACAACGTAGAGAATAATTTTTAATATAAGATCTAAATATCAAAAAGATTTTTCTGTCTCACTTTTAAGTACAACATTAAACAACTAAAACCAGCCATTTTACTTGAAAATGATTTTCACAAAGAACATTTTCCTCCATCAAGAAGTTTTTCACAAAACAAATACCCAAGAACAGCAAATCCAGAGAAATGGAGATACTTGATGGACAAAAAGATAACTATGTATTTATTGAACAAAGAGACTATTTTTATCAGATTTTCTCATTATCTTATTAAAAACGATTTTATCCCATCTTGGAAGTGCATAGTTTAGAATTAATAGTAATCACTCATATTTTTGTAACACACATAGTTGAAGAGGAACATGTGATAATTAATCACCCTTAAACCCTTCAACAGCCAATTTATGACACTCATACGTATTTAGGTCCTTTAGTATTACAACCCTTCAAAACAACAAGACAGTGTACTTAATTTCACACAAATTGTCAAAAGAAAAGCATGTTGAATTTGCTGCTGCTTCTTCAACCACCGTCTCTGATCTTTTCCTTGTGAACTGAAACTTGAGCTCTCAAAAGGAGAAGTTCATGATGTCCATGCTGAGGCTCTCCATCATCATGGTCTCCATGAATCCGCAGTTGCTCACGGGCGCTTTGTTGAAGGTCCCCAGCTTGGGCTTGAACGGGCAAGAGGAGATGGGGATGATCGGGATGTTCTCGCAGTTGCAGATCTCGACCATGTACCCGTCGGGGTCGTGGAAGAAGACTTGGTCCACCTTCGCCCCCGCTTCCTCCACCACCGCTGTCACGTACCTCATCCCCATCTCTTGTAGTCTCCTCTTCACCAGCCCCACGTCCGTGCACTGTACAAAGAAGGCAAAACCACCCAGTTATGGTGACGTCTATGCTTTCTAAATCAGTGGATGCAACGAAAAATTGCGGGTTCTCGTCTTGTTCTACGGTTACTTTTGAAACAAATCCTTTTAACAATTGAGCAACTAGGACTAGTAACTCAAATTCAATTGTGCCTAACAGTTCTACCAGTTAATGGAGACTTCTTTTTTTCTAGAACAGTTAATGGAGACTTATGCTGTATCAAACTTACTTGGAAAGACATATGGTTATCCTTGGGGTTGATTGGACGTGGCTCGTCAATGGCGTCGTTTTCCTCTATTGATGGGTTCTCAATCAAGTGTAACCCTATTCCATAGTTGTACAACCTGCGTATCAAACACACAACACCCACCGAGAATCATGCACATGCAGGCGGGGGACAGTATGAAAGTGAAATAATGTCTTTCATATCAATAACTCGAAAGAGATAAAGTTAGAGAGAGACGGACCAAGCTCCATTGAAGTTGAAAGAAGAAGGGCGTTTGATGAGGACGAAGCCGAGAACGTCCTCGTAGAACCTCACTGAGTCCCACAGGGACCGGCACATCAACGAGAGGTGGTTCAGTGAGAGGAGAGGCAGTGCTTCGCAGCCTCCCATCACTTCCTCAATCTCCATCTTTGCACCCATCATCATCTTCTCTCTAAGAGCTTGGTCGCCCCTCTTCAGCTTCTGATCCTCCTCAAAAAGTTTCTCTGTGTTGTTCTTCGTTTGGTCTCACTCGAGCATATGTGATGAATGGAATGAGTGGCGATTAGTTCCTTTTTAAAGAGACGGGGTCATTTTGCTTTAACTTGAAAACTTAGGCAAAAGAAAAAAAATGTTTGCGAGAGGAACTTTCCTCGCAGATTCTCTCTTGGGACAATGTGGATGCCCTTCGTATCAAACTATCTGATTTGAGTTTGGTTATCTCCTATTTCGTACGCACCTTAGTGTAAATGTTTAATCCACGCCAACCCTATCGAATGTAAGTTGTTTGTATTCTGAAGCTTAATTAGCACGATGAAATTATGTCACCTGTTTTTTATATTAATGAAATGTTTGGAACTCTCTTTGAGCACCCGACTAATCTTTATTGAGAGTAACAATCCTCCTTTAATCTCACACATGTCGAGTCATTACCGAAACCATAGATAAATGCTCAATATTGGGGTTGCCTCGAGAGAATGAGCAAATGTGGTGATTCAAACTTAATTAAGCTTTGGGCATGAAGAACGATTGCGCATATCACTTGAGCAACCCTTTTGAGGTTAAAGTATTTGTCGAGATTAAATTTATTATTACCGATTATCAGAGATATATACCATTTCCTAAGCTTTTCAGTACGTACATAAAGATCATATCCTTGATGTTGATATGTACAGATTTTTTGCCAGTCGTAAAAGCAATAAATTTGAACAAGGCATGCAGGATCTGGTATCGGTGAAACCCCATGACAGTTGCTGCAAATGATGGTGCAAGGTTCCAAAATCTGAGAAACTTCCCACGATGCTTCCTCTCATCAGAAGATGAAGCCTCCTCCATCATCGTTCTCTCCATGCTTTTGTCTCCGGAAAAGCTCGAGAAGAATCCAAGAAGCTAAACAGCGACGAAGTTGCCCCGTCACTCCGACCAAACACACATGGCGTGAATCACATTTTGCGTGCATACCTGATCTTGCGCCGCCCTAATTTCAGTTGGAATCGTCGGGATGTGCAATCAAATACTCAAGAACTCGCTCAATCTGTACGATGCGGTCATTTCCATCGCTCAGTTTATTAATGCTGATGTGGCGTTATCGGTACAGTAGTTGCTAACAACCGGAGCTGATGTGGCGCCTGATACCTATAAGGAGAAAATATTAGGTAGGACTCGGATTCCACCATGCTTTTAAATTTTAAAGCTTAAAGATAAATGGTCTAAATGGGTTGAGTTTGGAACACGTCCAACCCACCACTGACCCCATCCACATATCTCTCCTCTTTATAAAGATGTTTAAAAAATCGAAATTTAATTATTTTATTTTTTCTCTTTTTCTTTTATTTTTTTTTTTTTCTCTTCTTTCTTTTCTTTTTTTTTATTCCTGGCTGTAAGTGGTCGGCCACGGCGACCTGGCCACCGGGGGCGGACGACTCTGGCTTCGGATCCGGGCGAGCCTCAACCTCGCCCGATCTCCGCAACCTCGAGGCTCGCCCGATCTCGGCGAGGCCTCCCTCGCCGATTTGGCGAGACTGAGCTCGCAGCCTCGGCGAGCTCTACTTTCGCCGACGGGCGAGGTGGAGCCTTGCCGAGGCCGGGCTGGAGCTCGAGCTCGCCACCGGCTAAGGAGACGCAGCTCGTCGTGATCCGGCGCGAGGTAGGAGCTCGCCCCGAGGTCCTGCGAGTTCGTCCCTACTCGGTCTGGCGACTGGGACAATAAAAATAAAGGAAAAATAAAAAATTAAATTAATTCGATATAAAAATAAAAATATATTAATTTTTTTTTTTTATTTTCTTAGATAATGACTTTATGGAAAATATTTTCTAGAAATGTCGCATTTTTCGTAAAAACAAATGTAACCTCAATTTTTAAAAATTATAAAAATTTTCACTAGCTTTGTATTGCATAAAAATATTTTAGCAAAAGATAATTTTTAAAAAATCATAAGAAACAAGTATTCCTAGATTATGTAAAATATAAAAGTGCTTTAAGCAATATGGGTCTGGGTCTGTATGGGTTGGGTCTGGGTATGGGTATGGGTTGAGACATTTACACTATGAATAAACGGGTCATAAACTAATATTTTCTCCTATAAGGGGGATTAGAGAGAGAGAGAGGGATCCAGTGTTCCTCTTCAAGGCCTTGGTTTGGTTAGGACACGTGTCGTACGGTTTGATGAATTCGAAAATTGTTAATATTACGAAAAATTTCAAATTAGTACACTTGTGAAAATTTATTCAAAATTAATTTTTTAATCATAAAAAATCTCAAACCGGTATACCTATGATAAATTTACCCTACGTTAATTTTTCTTAACATTTACCTTTAAATTGCTAAGTTGGATGACACGTGATAGTTGATGGGTGTACAAGTTTGGAGTTTTACCCCTTTGTTTGTTACAAGTTTATCAATTTGTAGTTTTTCGTGGTATTAATCCAACTTAACGGAGAGTAAATTTGTCACAAATATACTAGTTTGGGGTTTTTGGTAGTTAAAAAATTAGTTTGGGGTAAATTTATCACAAGTGTATCAATTTAGGATTTTTCATGATCAAAAAATTAGTTTTGGGTAAATTTGTTATAGGTGTACCAATTTAAGATTTTTTTCGGTATTAACCTATTCGAAAAACTATGACATAAAGTATAAACTTTTTAAGTGTACAATGACAAAGAAAATTAAGATTTTATTTAATAGTTGCTAATTATTTCGATGCTAAATGGGAAACTTTTTGGGTAACAATAATTTCGCAGAAAATTTACAATTTAGAGAATTTTTTTTTAACTTTAATCATTGTGATCTTTCAAAATATGAGTTAATGAAAAGATATTTTCATTATTAACAACAATTCATACCTAACCATTATTATTGATAATACAAACAATATCTGTAACCTCTTTTCCTAAGAGATATAAATGAACAAAATTAGGACTATCTTTTCATAATAGTTGACTTTCTGTTAAACAAACGGAACTTTATTCAGCTTTTAGTTATATAGATGTTACCTTCATAGATGCTATATTAATAATAAAAATTTAATAGAAAATTAAGTAGCTCCTTTTTTATTTAAATCATTTAGATGGCTTTTGAATGAACTTCTGAGTAAAATTAATTCACATCAGTAAACTAGTGGACTGAACATAGTTAATTTTTTACGGCCGAGGAGTTGGCTAAGGGCTCATCAAATGCTTCATCTGGATGTATTATGTGTCCCGTTCGCAGCTCACTTTATATAGCTTTAGGGGGCCATGCTCGCCATCGATGGAGCATTATTCAATGTAGACAAACAATACAATTTGTATATATCAATGCAAATAAGTGGGGACGAAAGGTTTTGATAACCTGTATTATAAAAAGATGGGAAAATTCCAAATAAAAGCATGAAGTGCCATTATTTTTTTAAATAAAGGTTTAAAGTGAATCTTGTGTCAAATAAGAAGCTGAAGTGGTCATGTCAATCTTAAATAAGGGCATGAAGTGGCCATGGTAGTTTTCAATAAAGGCCTGATCTTGCCGATCATTGGCCGGCTAAATAATCCGACTAATCAAGGGCAGTTTCGTCGAAAGACAATTTTAATTTTAAATTAAATTTTCTTTTATTTTTCATTTTTCTGGTTTTTCTTTTCTTCTTCACCTGCGACCGGCCACTGGCGACACCTGAAAAGGGCTGGCGAGGCTCTCCTTGCTAGCTGTCGACAAGGGATGACCATGCCCCGGCAAGGCCGCTCTCGAAAGCCACAAGTGAGGGTTGGCCTCGGTCATTGGCAAGACCCTCGCTGAGGAGAGGCCAACCCTCGCCTATGGCTTTCGAGGGCCGTCTCACCCAGGCGAGGCTGTCCCTCGCCAGATCAGGCGAGGGCGCCCTCAGTTAGCCCTCTCCAGGCGTCGTTAGTGGCCGGTTGCTAGCCAATGGCAAAAAAGAAAGAAGAAAAATTGGAAAAAGCTTTTAGCCTGAAAAAAAGAAAGGAAAAACTGAAAAAGAAAAGTAAAGGACAAAAATGCCCCTGACCATTCAGAAAGTCGGGCCCTTCTTTGAAACAGACATAGCTTTTTCAAGTCCTTATTTTAAACAAGATTCACTTCAAATTCTTACTTGAGAAAATGAAAATATTTCATGTCCTTATTTGGAATTTTCTCTGAAAAGATGTTTATTCCACGTATGAAAAGTGTTTGGTCCTCTTTTTGGGCCAATCTGAATAGTGGGCTAGTCGACTTGGTAACAACATGGGAGGCTCTTGTTATGGCCTGTCCTATAGGCCCTTGACCTCAGATTGGCCTCATATTAATGGTGCTATGAGTTATTCTAAGACCCATTATCCTTTTCATTGAATATATAAAGTTACAAATGTACTGGTCTAATTTTTAGTATAACTTCAATTGAAACTATGAAAAAAACACGTAATCTTTTCCTTCAGTTACATGATTTATATGTACAATAAATACTATACGGACTGTGCCCAGATAAAAGAGCACGTGGATCCTCTCAAATAGCGATATTTACTTTCCGGTATATTTTACTTTACATGGTCACCACCATTCGCAAGCTTTTCGAGTTAGAGCAATTGCCTAGTCCTTTCTCGATCATACTGATGATCTTTTATCTACTTAAGAACATAATATATACTTCACGGTGTCTCGCATTATGTTATTTTTGTCGTCCCTTACCTTAATAACGATTATAAAAGAGAAAAACATAACGTAACATGATGGTTTGTTTTCTTCTTTCTTCATCTTTTTTTTTTGCCTCCTTTTGTATTGAACCAATTATTGCATGCGAAAATAATAAAGATGTTTATTCCATCGGCGTCAACTAATTTGATCGCGATCATTGGCCTTAAAACAGCTGGATATATGGGAGTGCAAATTTAAATAGTCCGTAAATATAAAATGGACAACTCCTAGATACATGTCGTTTGAAAATTCCCATCATCACATGCTGGATTCGATTCTTCATTCAGCCAAAAAAAAGACGAAGAGAAAAGAAATTAATAATCATATTATTATTATTATTATTATTATTATATATGGATAAATTAATAGTAGTCAAAAGGAGGTGACTTCAACCCCATATTTGGC